TAAGCTACTGGATTTATTCGACATATACATTTTCTAATCTACTCTTGAATGACTCTGTATAATAATGAAGACCTCATTAAAATACGCTGTGTAGTCTAAAAAATATTAGCTTACAATTTCTTTACTGCGCTATCCATTATAACCAGCGAGTAGTTAAACTATTTAAATCTGTGACGTCAATAATTAAGTATTTGAGGATATTCTTTTAATGCGAACGATTCAATCACTGATACGTCATGGCATTGACATTTTGTACATTAACAAGTAATTTCACAAATAAAAGTGAAATGAGGACTTTCAATACTTGTTTATACGTTTAATGCGGATATGATGGCATATAAAATCCTTAACTTGTAAATATTCTTACTAAAAGAAAGTTAAACGAATGCAAGATATTATTAAAGTATTCAAGGTAACGCATCAAGACAAAGACAATGAAACGAGCTAAGCTAGTCAGAGAGAGACAGAGGTTGGCGTATGTAAAATACCTCAACATGTCACGATGTCGTATGAACGTATAATCTATACATATTTTAATTTTTATTTATTAACAACTAGGTGATTTCCCGCGATAGAACAATTATAGCCTGTGCCACTCGAGTATTGTGTAGCTTAGTCCCCCTGATGATCTGGGGTTCCTCGGGCAGATGCATGAAGATTTCAACTATCATGCGGTTTCCCCGATTGACACATCAGTGGGTACCCTGAAGGGTAGACCCTACGGAGGAACTGGACTATTATGGAGAAAGTCGCTATTCGTCAATGTCATGCCGATATTATGTAATTCAAAACGCATCGTGGCGGTTAAAATAACCCTCGGAGACAGGAATATAATCGTAATGTCGGTGTATATGCCTATAGAGTGTAAAGACAATCTCCCTGAATTTATCGAATGCCTCGGTATAGTAAGTGCAATAATAGAAGACAGCGGCAGCGACTACGCTATGGTGTTGGGTGACTTCAACGCAGATGTGAATAGTATGTTCGGTGATGAGTTGGAATGTTTCTGTGATGACCAGAACTGGATATGTGCTGATGTTGACATTCTCGGTAAGTCCTCGGGCACCTTTACTTTCTTGAGTGAGGCCCACGGGACATGTAGTTGGTTAGATCACTGTTTAGTGACTGCGGCGGCTCGCAGCATGTTATCTGAAGCGCGGGTGCTCGTAGATGTGTCATGGTCTGACCATTTTCCGCTAGTAATGGAATGTGATATGTCTCTTATAGTACCTAAAACTGTTGATATTTGTAATATTTCTATTAATAATAACATTTTCTGGAAAAATAGAAATCTAGATATGTTTAGTAATTACACCAGATTATGTAACAATTTTTTAGAAAAATGCAATTTAGATAAATATACCTTGTTGTGCTGTGATAAACCGTGTAGTAATTTAGATCATTTCTGTATAATAAATGAAATGTACGGTTTGTTGGTAAATTGTTTAAGTAATGCAGCTATAGAAACTAGCTGTGCTAGTAATAATAAACAACATAGAAAGAAACATGTCGTAGGTTGGAATCACCATGTGAAACATTTACATGCTGAAGCCAAGTATCACTATCAGTTGTGGTTATGGCACGGTGGGCCGACGCATGGCACCTTGTATGACAATATGAAAGAAACAAAAAAGACATTTAAAAACAAGCTCAAATGGTGTCAAAATAATCAAACGCAACTAAAAATGGATATTATTGCCGAACAAAGAGCTAGTGGCGATTTTCACAGTTTTTGGAAATCAACTAATAAATTATCTTTTAGGCCCTCCCTGCCTGTCACTGTTAATAATTGTCAGGACACGGGTAAAATAGCTGATATGTTCGCGTCGCATTTCCAAGCAGGTAACTGTGTAAGCGGCGGCCCTGTGCATGACTCACCGCGCTCGGAGCACTGTGTCGGTGAATACCTACCGAGCGCAAACTTCAATATAACGACAGACTGTTTAATTCAGTGTTTAAAAAATATGAAAAAGGGTAAGTCTCCTGGGCATGATGGTCTTAGCGTGGAGCATGTATACTATGGAGGTCAATTGTTACATACTATGCTTACTAAATTTTATAATTTATGTTTGTCACATTGTTATTTGCCTAAGGATTTTATGAGGACAATAGTTGTACCTATTCTTAAACACGGTTCGAGCGATTCGACTAACTTGAAAAACTATAGGCCTATCTCATTGGCCACTAGTTTGTCCAAGATTTTTGAGGCACTCCTGCAACCTGAGTTAATAAAGCATATCAAACTCAACGATGCTCAGTTTGGTTTTCGTACCGGCTTATCTACGGACGCGGCCGTTTTTGCTTTAAAAAACACTGTTAAATATTATCTTTCCAGAAATACCAACATATATGCCTGTTTTCTTGATCTCAGCCGAGCTTTTGATACAATTAATTACAATATACTTTGGTCCAAGCTGGAGGGGGCGGGTGTGCCATGGGATATAGTGGGACTCTTTAAGTACTGGTACCTAAACCAAACTAATACAGTAAAGTGGAGAAACTGTTTTTCTGTGGAATATGTGCTCGGTTGTGGCGTCCGCCAGGGTGGGCTTTCGTCCCCGTTACTTTTTAATTTGTATATTGATGGCTTGTTGGTGGAACTTGGGAGATCCGGTGTCGGCTGCCATATGAGCAATCAGCCTGTAAATAATTTGAGTTATGCGGACGACATGGTTCTCCTGAGTCCCTCCATCAATGGATTGAAAAAATTACTTAATATTTGTGTAAAATATGCTAATGTACACGAATTGACATATAATGTGAACAAGACTGAGCTTATGATATTTGGACAAAACAGGATAAATAACTTTAGCCCAAAAATTTGTCTTAACGGTTCTGTCATAAAACAGGTCAGCAAGTTCAAATATTTAGGTCACATAATAAGAGATGATTTAAGTGATGATGATGATATGGAACGTCAGAAAAGAAGTATTGCTGTTAAAAGTAACATGCTGGCTCGTAGATTTTCTAAATGCAGTAAAGCCGTGAAAGTCACTCTTTTTAGTGCCTACTGTCAGGCGTTTTACACCAGCCAGCTGTGGACAAATTTCACGCAACGCGCCTATCATGCGTTGCGTGTGCAATATAATAACGCTTTCAGAGCAATGATGAACCTGCCATGGCGGTGTAGCGCGTCCGGCATGTTCTTCGACAATAGGGTTGATGATTTTTTTGCAATTATGAGAAAAAGGGCTGCCGCTTTCAAAGACAGAATCAGAAATACCAATAATAAAATCTTACTATCAATCTATGACTCATGTAAAATGATTATATGTGATTTATGAGCGATTCTATAGAATGTATTAATTTAATGTTTTATTTATGTTGTTTTTAATTTGATTTTTATTTTTATTTTTTTAATATGATCTTTAATTAATCTTCGCGGCATTTAGATATGACGATGATTTAATGTATTTTAGATAATTGTAATGAATTCACTTATTATTATTATTATTATTTGTTTATATTTTTGATTTTAAAATTTATTGCATGTTTTAATTTTCAATTTTATTTATTTGTATAAACTAAATTTTGATTTGTGTATATGAGTGTTAATGCTTGCAAAATGTGTTGGTAAGTGCATAACTCAACAACGCCTCGACCAATTTGGCCAAATCTTTTTTTAAAATGTTCGTTGAAGTTCAAGGATGGTTTTTACGGCGAGAAAAATTAGAATTATTGCTGGAAAAACCCTAAAAATAGCCCTTTTCTTTTCCCATACAAATGATTTAACTAAAACGTAGTAAATTTGAGCTTTATTGCTATGGTATAAAGTTCATATTAAATTACAAGCACTCACTGTTTTTCTAAGCAATGTAGGTGTGTTCCTAATGTCAAAGATCATATCTATCAAAACAATGTGCGTGTGTCGTTGGAGCACAGAATACATAGTTGGAGGAGTTTAATGTCGCGTTCCGAAACTCGCGTTTCTTTTGTATTAGTTTCGGCACGCGAGATAAAATGCATCAGAATTTTTTTAAATACGTAGGCAAAAAAACTGCCACATTACAAATCTTTTTGACAGGACGAAGTCTGTCGGGTCAGCTACTAGAAATTTCATTTCAATAAGATTGTATCAATTAAAATTCAATATGAAATAAATTAAGTAAAATGTCTTCAATAAATATATAATTAGAACTTGGAATATAAGAATATATTAAACCCAATAGTATAGCCTTTACAAATGGCATGCCCTTTGAGATTGTTTTCGTTGCAAACAAAACATTCTTGGTTTAAAATTATAAATGCATATTGCAATTTTTGAACGGCAATAAAAACTATATCTACCTACTTATATTGCACTAAAGATAATTATCTACGTAACCGAGGTCAAATTTGTTGTGGAACCTTTAAATAGTAACCTTGAACTTATCTAATGTACCGAATCAATAATCGTCCTATCCCATGGCCCCGAAGGTCACGTGAGAGTGACGTGAATATAATTGCAAAAGAATTTAAGGCGCAGATATTAGTTTTAAATCAGATATAGTTTTAACTAAAGAATAAATAAGTAACTAGCACGCAATTACGATAGAAGCTGGTAGGTATGTCATTAAAACATAAAAATATAATATTACCTTTACAAAACTAAAACCAAGATAAGAAATTAAGGTTAAAAAATACCTACGAAACTAAAACCTATTTATATTTGCACCACATTTGATACAGAATTCGGTCAAGGGTGTAGTCTCACTTCTGCAATATTAATATCATTTAGCGCGTGCTATTTTATAGCAAATACTTACATACTTGTTAAACTAGTATCTTAAGGTCAATTCGTTATAAATATTAGAAAAAAATTTGCATGAATCTAAGCAACGAGTCTATATATTTCTTCTATCAAAGCCCCATAATGAATATGACATCAAAACAATCCTTTGATTGTTAAAAACCACATGAAATTATTTATTATTACTTATATTTGTTTTTATAGAAAAAGATAAATTTATCTGTCTTTTATCTTTATATAATAATAATAAGTTGTATTTTTTTATCGTCAGATACTTAGATGCTGAGATCTGCACAAGATGAGATGAAGATAAGGATCATAACTAAAACATTATACCTATAATCGTATCATCTGTTGGCATTGAAGAAAATAACTGTATAACAAGAGATAACTTTGAAATATAGAAAAATGGTCCAAACGATACAAAAGATAATACAAAATAGCGCCACCGATGCTCCAAAAGAGGATATTCTTTCGAAGCTAATTGGTCAATTTGGAGTGTGGCAATTTATAGTTTTCGCATCAGTAAGCCTGGTCAAATTATCATCGGGCTGGGTTCAACTAGCTATTCTGTTTCTTACACCGGCTTTAACATTTAAATGTGTAGAATTTAATTCCGCAAATAATGACACATTTATAGTAAAAAATTCGACGTGCTACAAAGACTGTTTGTCATATGAGTACGACACAGGACAATTCGATAACACAATAGTGTCGGAATGGGATTTGATATGCGAAAGAAAATGGTTAGCGAGTTTTACTCAGATGGTGCTGCAATTGGGAATACTTGTTGGGAGCATAGTATTCGGATTTTTGGCTGACAGGTAAGACTGACTTTTCTTATTTGACAATGTCCATTCTTCTTTTGACCCAAAAAAAAATTTTTGGTATTCTATATACAATTCAATTATTTAGAATTGATAAACATGAATAAAACACACTAATAACAAACTGTGCCACGGTGTCTATTGCTAAGGCTGGCTTCAGCTTAGTAGAGGCGGTAAGCAGAACATACCTACCAAGAGTTAATCTACATGGGCTTATCTCTGCCGCCTGACGGATGAATTGAGCAGGTCAATGGGTAGGGCCTATCCTTGGTTGTGAGTGGTATACGAGAACCAGAGCGTATTCATCAGGAAAATAGATATAATGACTAATTTTTACTTGTTTGTCCGTTAATTGACGTCACTTTTATATATTTTCTACATAGTTGTGATATAACCAGCTCCACTCGTAAACTTAAATGTCTATTATCTAAGCTATTTCTTGTTAAATTGAAGCAAAAATAAATCCGTATCCAGCATTGTTCCGTTATCTGACTAACAGACTAAATAGAATTTATTTTTTTACCTAACTCTCAAACAGTTGTCCATTAACATCATTTATGAACATCATCCAATTAACTTTTTTAATGAACCCATAACCTTTTTGATGCAATTTTGGCGAAATCATTTCCAAACATACAATCTTACACGTAAAATTTACCTTTAATTTTGTATTAAAAGAGCATTTCATTCAATTAGTATAGGTATGGTTCCATCTTCAATTATTTTATGTCAAGTTTCCATATTAATTGTATGAAGTTTATTGTAATCAAAACAAAATGTGAAAGATAAAGTGTACCATAATGCGCATTTTGCTGAACATATTTCAAGTGATAAATTGTACTTCGTACTAGAGAATTATATAGATATATTTCTTACGTTTTCATATTTAAGATTGCATCTTTTAATTATAAATTCAACAGGCTTAACTTCCATGCCTTATCTTAGTAGAACAACCTACATCTATACATAATGACATTTTATCAAAAAGTAAAAATGTATGTCAATATGATTAAAATAGTACTTAAAGATAACAATCAAGTCAAAGTATAATTTTAGGAGTAATTAATTTTTTACGTGGGATAAGATGAGATTTTTAGCCAAATTTGACCTCCTTCTCCCCCTACGTTAGAAAATTTAAGAACTTTCTGACCTCTGCCACAATGTTAAATCATTTTTACGGAAGAAGTTATTTGAGTAGGTATATTTTATCGAATTTGTGGATGTTGTTTTATTTTTCAAACTATAATCTTAACTCACGGGCTTCTTTAAGAACTGTTTAGACTCCCGTCCTTGAGAGAAAAACGTTCAACCATCCTAAATCACCTTACGTATAAATGGATGAACTCGCATGACTAAAAATTTACAATTGCAAAAATAAGACTAAGAAATCAATTTATTAAGTGTCAAAAATAAAGCCGACTAGAAGGTTGACTATTTTATTTCCAATCACATATTCCAAAACATATTTCATAACAAGCAAAATTTCTCCATTCCAGATTTGGTCGAAAAATAACATTCCTCATCTCTGTGACGTCAGTGATCGTGGTCGGATTCGGCGTTCCTTTCTCTCCCAACTATACAATATTCACCATTCTCCGCTTTCTGCTAGGGTTCGCCACTGCTGGAACAATGGTTATATCTTTCGTCATCATCATGGAGTCCGTCGGTCCCAAATTCAGGGAGCTAGCGGGGTGTCTGTTCCAGGTTCCTTTTATTATTGGTCATATGACGGTACCACTATTCGCTTATTACTACCGGTGAGTATTACTTAAATAGTGATATACGTATACCCATTTTCACGAACATAGAACAAGACATAGTTTAAGTAGGAAACGTCTAATCTTACGAATCGCCTATGCAGATAAGTTTTATTACAAATGAACTTTTCTTTCTTTTATCCTTTGACACATTTGTAATCTGTTATATTACGGAAATGTTTAGCATAAGGCATCACATAACACATGTTATAACTTTTGACATAGCTTCATTAAGCTATTTCGTTAGGTGGTTTCTAATCATTTATGAAAGGCATTTTCACTTTAGGCATTCCTAAATATTTATGCGACCGATTTGAGCGACTCCTAAGTTTAGTGAAAACGGCCATTAATTCTACTAGATATGTATACTCAGTACAAGGTGAAGATCGAGAAAATTTCAATTTTACCATTCCATAAAGAGAATCTAGTAATATAAGATTTGTTTTTATTCTGGACAGTAGTCGTTGTACAATTTATTTCTTAATGTGAGCGAACAAATCGGTATGCGGTTTGTATTCATATTGATTGCGTATTCCTTGGTTATATAAATTAGTATACATTTTTATGTTGAGCAAACAAATCATAGAATTTCCGTGTCTAACTCCTCAAATTAAAAAAATATATATACCTAATTACATCTAGAATCCTGTACTAAGAAATTTTGATTTATTTATTGCACTGTAAATTTTTGGCTGGACTTTTTAGGAGCTGGAACACTTACACGTTGGCGTTGGCTGTACCCACACTCATATATTTAGGATATTTCTTCCTGTTGACTGAATCCCCGAGATGGCTAATCAGCGTGGGCAGGGTCGATGAAGCTGCCACCATAATTACCAGAGCGGCGAAAATGTAAGCCATTTCTGTTTTCTGATTTTTGACGTAAACTATAAAATTAACGCAATTTCTCGGTTAATAATGGAAAAACTATTTTCTCTGCTATTTTTAAATATCTATTAACTATCTTTAGTTAAATACATATTTATTGCACAGTGGTTCGCGTGCTCAATTTTTTCTCAAAAGCCTGTCATTATTTTGAGCTCGTCCGTGCTTCTAAAAGCATAAGCCGTTATTCCCGGCCATATTTTCAATCTTTAACACTCACCAATCCACACTTGGCCCGGCGTGATGGGTCATGGCCCATTCCCCGTATTCGATTGGCCTCCGTGCATAAGGAAGGTCTGTGCCCCTGCAGTGGGAACATTAATAGGCTTATGATGGAATTTCAGTGTGTGTAAAATGAAAAACATGTATACGTAAATGAGTAACGATTTCCATTTCAAATAAGCACGAATGATATACACGTATCTTGTATCTGAATTTCCAGGAATAATCTTTCAACGACGAAGATCAAGGAATCTCTTACATTGATGTCCGAAACTATCAAGAACGACTCAAACGAGCCGAAACCAAACTATCTCCAACTTCTGCACAGTTCCCTGAGAATCAAAACGATATGTTGCTGCTTCATCTGGCTCATCAGCGGGGTCACTTTCTTTGGCTTGAACCAATACATCAGCCAGACTAGCCCGGATCCTTTCATTTCAGTAGCTGTTGCAGCAGCGATTCAGGTATGCTTACCCATATTTTTTTTTTATTAAATGAAAAAATAAAACTAGAAAAATACATTGGATCTTTACATCAGGCAGGCATGCAAACGATACAATAAATGCCGTATTCTTTTTATGTTAGTTTGAGTATATTTAGTGACAAATAAAAATATCGTAAAACTTAATTTTACTTACGAAACTTTTAATGCCAAACATTTTAAGATGAATCTAAGAAAACTGATTAATAATTATAGTTAATTTACATAAATAAATTATTTATCTTGTTTTAATGTAAGAAAAATTTAGATTTAGATTTTTGCACATAATTTTTAGTTTCAAATTAATTGTGTAACATTATTTGGAATCCCATGTGGATTCCGCATGAGATTGAGTAATCAATCCTCATACTGCATAATCGCAATCCTTAATCAGTATGCATAGTTTAAGCTAAATTATTTCTATGAAACTTATAAATCTAACTATAAAGACTTAAACAAAATTATAAATGATAGTTCTAAATATAATCAGCAATAAGCTTGTGATAACATTGACAATAAGCATAAAATGTAAAACTTAACAATGAAATCTCCTTCCAGATACCTTCAATATTACTCTCAATCTGGCTAGTCAGATACTTCGGCCGAAAGATCACCACCATCGCCGGCTCCTGCTTGGGTGGACTCTGCATCATCATCCTTGGCTGCGTTCCCAATACTTTCGCCTTTAAACTGACCTTCGGTAGTTTAGGAGTCAGCTGTTCGTCTATAGTAGCAACGACGATATACATTTATACGTCAGAACTCTATCCTACAGTCGTACGAAATATGGGCATGGGTGCTTCATCGACTGCTATGAGGATAGGGTCTATGGTGGCTCCATTTATATCGAATATGTCAGCAGTATCATGGCTACCAACCGTGGTATTTGGACTGGCACCCATAGTGGCTGGAGCGCTGTGTTTTTTGCTTCCAGAGACTAAAGGCACTCGCCTATTAGACAGTATTGACGAAGTTGAAAAATAAATATTGCAATAATTAATTATAGGTTTTATTAATAAATAATGATACATATTGTATATTAGGAATGATGCCTGGGTTATTCTTTTTAATATTAGACATTAAAAAAATATCTGACGGACGGAAAAAAAATACTCATCATTCCTATTATATGAGCGTTTTCATTAAACCTAGTATTAAAATATCTGTGATTAAATTACTGAGTAATGATCCCGCGAGTTATAAACTTGAGAAATTATTCAAAAGTATTAAAAATGATTACCGATTATAATTATAAGAAGCTAGTAATGTAATATGTATTGTATAAGTAATTGTTATTAAAAATTCTGCAACCTCCGTAGCCCAGATTGAGGTCTCGAGGATACGATATGTTGTTTCATTTTACTATTTAGACATATCTTTTAGTGGATAAATTTAGGATAAATGACTAAATTGATGTACTGCAACAGAACTGGCGAATCTAGGGAAATGTTTAGTGGGATAAAAAGTATCCTATTATCTAAGTCAGCTAACACCCTATCTGTATACCAAATTTCATCAAAATCCGTTCAGTAATTACGGCGTGATTGACGTACAAACATCCAAACATCTAAACATTCAAACAAAGAAACTTTCACATTTATAATATTAATAGGATTGACATTGACTTGGTAATACCTAAACTAATAACATTGTAAAGTCGTGTTTCAGACAAGTATTATAGAGATAAGCCACTCATTATTTGCGCAATTCTACGATTTTACGACTTGTATTTCATGTTGACTCTTTAAAAGTTATATTTTTATATTCTAACTTTGTTTAAACAACAATTATTTTGTATCAGTAAATAAACGTAGGTAACTATAATATGATAAAAATATAGCATCGCGTTTTTCATAAATACATAGGTTAGAATTAATATGCGAATAGGAGCCGTACTGTACATGACTTACACCCGTTTTCGCTAACCTAGAACAAGGCAAAGCTTAACTAGGAAACGCCTAATTTTAAGAATCGCCTAAGCAGATTAGTTTAATTTCAAATAAACATTGTTTTCTTTTATTTCATGAAACATTTGTGATCTGTCATATTACAGAAATAAGGTAATAAAGATTTAATTTGATGAAGACTCCAACGCTGCGATAGTGCTGTTCGAGGCTACGTTCAAAGCTACTATAATAGAACAGAAAACCAGGGCCCCAATTTTCTAATTATAAATCTATTGTTATCCCTTTTAATTTGACATTTGAAAGATGTTCAAGTCATTTACGCTACAACTATTTGAATTCTGATATCGATTGCAATTGCACGTTTTTTAAAGATATTGAATGAACAATATCGTTTATGTGACGCTAATTATAAATATCTAAGTAAAACATTAGACTGCTTTCTTTCAATGCGTTTAACCTTCCCTTTTAACCGAGTTTTTATTTTATATTATCTTGAACATATAAATCATGTTCGTTCCAAAAGCGATTGCATCTTTAAAAGTTACATAATTTCATAAATCGTTATCACAATCGCTTGAAATGATAATTTTTATATTAAAATTAGATAATTAGTACAAAAGTCGTAGATAGCATACATTAAGTTATGATCACATTAAAGTGTACCGCAGTGTTATCAAACGCAAAACAATGGCAGGAAATGCAAAAAAAGAAACGTTAATATTTAGATTCGAACATTGAAACGGTGCACTACTGGTTTCTAGTGAGAGCCTGGCTCACCCGCCGTACTGAAATACTTGATTTTTCTCTATTTGGTTGTTGCACCAAGACCTCTGCTAATCAAATCTCCGGTTGACTGAGTAGATAATGCCTAATGTGCATTACTTTTAATTTGTGTTTATGTACATATCTTATTTATACCTATCTTCTTAACGTATCCCTTGCGGGATAGAAGGTAGAAAGGACTTAGCCACAAGAAGGCCCGTCTTTACCCATGGAGCAGAGGGTGCAATGCATACGGCGCCGCGCCGATTATGGTCTAATATAAAAAAATATGTGTTAAAAGTGGGGTGGGGGGCACCAGAGCACTACTTGCACTCGGGCGCCTGTTGTGCTTAAGACGGGCCTGGCCACAAGGCACTGTCCATACATATTTAACCTCCTTTACTTTTATTAATTTATCCATATGCTAGCCGGTTTTATAGCTTTTTGTCTAATAAAGTGTAAATAAATAAAAAACAATAAATTCACATTAGAACACAACTCACTTCATTATTACTAAAGATCTAATGTAATAATAATATGAAAATAAAATTAAACTAATATTCTCGAGACACTTGGGGCCGTTTTTTTTTACTAGCATTTTTCATTGAAGATATTTATCCGTATTGATAGCATTGTGAATGCGCAATTGTTAAAATATAATGTATATTATTTGATTATAATGACTATATTCGGATTTAATTTGTATCTAATACGTATATAATTATGGTAATTTAATGTTATATTGTATTTTTGTAAAAGAATATGACTGATCAATACTCAGTAGCTATATATTTTCAGTAGGAAGAGTTCGCAATGTTTTTGAAGTCATTAGCCCTATTACAATTTATTACTGGGACCGTACTAGTAAGTAGAAAGAAAATAAACAAAGTAATTACCTACTTAAATACCTTGATTGATAATAAATTAAGATAATAATATGGTATATTATTGATGTACTTGTCTGTACTAATGTTATACAGCCAGTTGCACAAGCGTCCATTAAAATTATCATTAGTTTAAGGCGACATTACCCATACAAATCTGACATTCATTAGAGCTTAAAGGCGTCAAACCGATGGGCTATCCTTTGTATTTCTGAGCACACCAATCTTTTTACCAGTGAAATAAAATAAGTTTTGGACACGTGGAATGTAAAAAAATCTATATGATACTTGTAAGTTCTTTTAAGGAGGTACTTTTTAAATGAATCCATTACAATCCATCGAATCTAACCCGACAACGAATAAATAATTTTTTAAATCCACTCCTTATACTCCTTTCGGGAGTGACTGTCAGGAGCGATAAAACCCCTTGCATATTAAATAACATGAAAATAATTAGAGCCATTTCCGAGATTCATATTATATGTATACAATACACAATCCAAGAATTGCTTGTTTAAAGGTATTTCCAGTTTACTTCATTCTTTTTCATTTTGTTATATAACTTTACATGATAATTTTATTATACTTTTTTTGTTCTTGAACAGTGTTATTCCGTGATCCTCGAAAGAACTGAGCGTGTTTATGTAAGCGAGAAATACTTGGTGAATGTTACGTTTTCAATAAAGAAGTACAACCGGAAGAGTCCCTACTACCTGAACATTGCTGGGAAAACTAAACACCCGTGGGCCAACAATATCACGGTCAGTACCTCAATCCAAATGAAGGGAAGCATTAATATGAACTATTGAACATTTAGTGATTATAATAACAATTTTCATAATGGAGCAGATGTCCGAAGAAGAACACGAACGGCCAATATTTTTCTCGAATTTGTGGCTGCAACACAGTGGCCGGCATCATTGCAAGAAATACCAGTCAGGCTCCAATATTGCAATTTTATTCCAGTCATATAGCAAAATATTTTTGGTTTAGCGATCCTATGTGTGGATTTCTATATATATCGATTTACTGCAACAAAATTTAATTTAAAAATATATTTACGTATCTCTGGCAGAGTCTATACTGACATATTACTTACCTGGGAAGGTGTAACAAATACTAAATTTCTTGAAAAGAAAGGGCACAAAAATCTGTACTAAAAGTAATGTATTCTAAACCATATTTATAGAGAATTTGAGATCTTAACTTCGAGAAAATTGTATATTTTCAAGACATTACTAAGGAAATATTAGTCCCACTTTTAATAAAAAAAATGCAAAATAAACGTAAAAGATGTCATGTTGCACCTATAAATATAGTAAAATCAACTTTTGCACAGTGATAATATAATAATAAACGATCGGCTCAACAATATAATTATGTAAACAAACATCTAAATATTATTTTCGTATATTACCTGATTGTAAGAAGCTCCTCTCTGATTAGGTAAAACAAAACAATATAAGCAAATTGATCTTCGCTATTTTCAATAACTTAATATTAAATAATAAAATAGAATTTAATATTAAATTACACACACACACACACACATACAATTGCTCACAAATAAATAGACTACATGCGCTGAATTAACCAAAAATGCTTTAATGTTATTAGTTTTCATAATTTTAACGTAATAAATGTGTAATAAATTTCAACATGTACGTACACAGTGCTATATTAATGGAAGAACGGCATCTTAAAAGCTTAAAATAGTAGGGGAGCCGAAGCGGGGATTTCGGGATTTATTAAAGCGCGGCAGATTAATATACAGGGGGATACCTTGTACCCAGTTAAGTACCTGGACCAAGTATGAGCCCTATAAAAATGGCCGCCCGGCAAGGACGAAGGATCAGATTAGTAAAAAAAAATTGATCATCTGAAAATCTCGAGCGCGTCAGATTAAGGTAAGGTGAGCTAGTTACATGCTAAAAGGTGTACATACCTCTAATCTGACAATTTGAGAGTGACGTAAAGAAGGGGGAAGGCTACAAAGTTGTAAAAAAAAAAGTCACATTGACATTCTCGAGCGTGGCTAATTTTTTTTTTATTTTGAAGAGAATCATTCAAGGATTACGAAAAATATATAATCTGACGATTGTCACAAGCCGAAGTAATAAAAATTCATCGATAAGATTTAATGCGTTTAAGCTACGTGATACCTGTATTTCCTTCTCCGCATCACTATTTCTCTCTCTTTTTCTGTCTATTACTCTCTCATTCCATCCCCACTCTGGTTTCGGTTGCCATGACGCCATGACAGCTGATGACACAGACTCGTTTGTGGCGTGATATTGTTTACATCGTATTTCCAACGTTTTTGCTTATTTTGTTATTTTAAGACAGAGAAAAGGGAGATGATTCTAGCGATGAAGATGATAATTAATAAAAAATACTGTAAAAATTAAATTTTCATATAATCATTTTCATACAAATATAAGTATTTTACATAAAAAACATACACTTTTTTATTTGCATGCTAACTCCGGTGCTTTTCTATTTAATTAAGCTCAATGATTTTAAAAAAATTAAAAAAAAAATTTTTTGTGTCAGTTTAAGTAAATCCCTTCAGATAATTGTCAGATTATGAGATATCACGTCTGGGGCATAAAGATGAACCATATATATCTTAATCTGACGTGCTTGAGTATTTCAAAATGGCGATTTTTTTTTGTACATTCTAATAATGGTCACGCGTTTGCGTCACATCCAAATCGTCAGATTATTATATGAGAGCCTTTTTTTTAGGTTCACTTGACATCCCCTCAAAAAATCTGACGCGCTCGATTAAATAT